ATACTGTTGCCTTTGTTATTTGTCTGTGCAGTGCCTAGCACCATGGGGCCTATTTCCTTGATTGGTGTTCTTCAGTGATACCACAATCCAAACAAAGAATAATAATTTCCATTGATTTGATTGGGCTTTAGATCAGGTTCCTAGTAATGGTCTCTCGAGCTTCCAGCTGCCACAGGGCAGCATTTAAACAAATGTGCATGGAACTGCCCACTTAGAAGACGTACCCCAGAAATTCTGGAGGAACAAGCCTAGTCCAGAGTGGTAGTGACTGGAAGATGCTCTGACCTGGTGGGTGCTTAGTGACCTGCCTGAAATGAGTGGGCAAGTCTCCGTCATCTGGTTCCTAGTGAGACAGGAAGCAACATCTCAGAACTGCCACCTCCTCTGTGCTCGTGTTGTCAGAGCAGAGCAGAGCTATGAAGTGAATGGGCCTTGGAGCCCAAGTTCCCTCCATTGCCCTACGGGCACATTAGTGGGGGAAACTGGAGCTGCTGTGGCTGAGGTTTTACATGCTTTGGAGATATACATTTTCCAGAACTGGCACCGATACCTTTCACTGGCGGCTCTTCACTTTGAGGAGAGGGGCCAAATTCAGCCCTGGTGTGTGCAGATCCACTCCACTGAGCTCATCCTCTTACACCAGGGCAGTTTTAGTCTAAGAGGATGCCTGAGAGGGAGCCTCCCTGGCAATCCCACAGTGCCATGTCACAATCTGGCCCTTGGGTAGCATGGGGATCAGTGGCTCATAAAGTCATTAGACAACTGGATGGAGAGAGAAAGAGAGAGAAAATCTTCAGACTCCATTGTGTATTATTATGTAGCGAGTTGCTATGTGTGTCAGCATTTAAAGCTTTGGTGCACATCTCGTCTGAGACAATGCTGTTAACCCAGTGATTTATCTCCTCTCTTTCTTTCCCTCCATGCTCATTAAACTGAGAATTCATTGGAGTGGCTGCTGAATCCAGTTGAATGCGTGTGCGTTTTGGCTCTCCGTGAGGTCCTCTCTGCAGATACCGTATGCTTTGGCAGACAGGACAGTCTAGGCTGCAGGATATTACACCTGGCAGGGACACAAAACCCTACCAGTTCCTGGAATTTAAATTGTCTATCAGAGTGCTGATTAAGCTGCACTTGCAATCTGCACCCAAGAAAAAACGTGTAACTGTCTCTGAGCATAGGATTCTTTCCCCATTAGCTCACTTTATGGCAGTGGGAGCTGCAGCTGGTACACTCTCTCCAACCCATTCAATCTGTCAAATGTCAAACGGGGAGACACAAAACTATTTTCTCAAATGCAAAAGTTTGCCTTTCACAGTGTCAGATGGGCGTTTGCTCCCTAGGCGGTTGGAGGGGGAACTCTTTAAAGAAAACACTAATGCCCCCACCCAACTATGTATCAGTATTTTCTTTGTAAGCCAAATCGACTTACAAATACTCTGGTGGCTGCTTCTGCTAGTCTGCCCAGTCCATGTCCCCAGCTTGCCCAATTCATGCCTCCAATCTGTTCACTTCTTGCCTCACTGTTGCTCATGTTGAGGAGTCACTGTCCCTCATTTCAGAGACCGGGGGCTGAAAAATATGGTCCCACCAATAAACAGCAGCACCACCAATGCCCAAGGAGGGCTAGTTCATATTACAAAACAGGCCGCTCCGATCTAGAGCTGGGCATGCTGAAACAAAAAAACAATGAAGCTGGATGCAGCATTGTTTCCCTGCTCACAGCTCTCATCCATGGGGGATTTCAAAGGAGAGCAGGAGTAGTGCCCAACCCTGGAGATAAGGAGGGCCACATTGGCTGGGGGCTAAGGCTTAATTGTGACTGTGTGTTTACGTACCCATTTATCATCAAAATGCCAAGCACAGTCTTTGCTGGGACTTGCATCTTCCTGCTGCTTGAGATCACCAGCAAGGAAAAACCTGCAGCCGATTAGTCTTAATCTCACCCGGTGTTTGCAGCGACTGAGTGCTTCAGGCTGCATTATACAGGGTTTCTGGGCTCTGTTTGCCTCTCTGGCCACACGCTGAACACTCCTGGTCTAGATACTAAACTCAACTGCAAGGAGATTTCCAGAGACATTTCCTTTGTGTCTGGAGCTGATCTGGAGGATGCATTCGAAATATGACATTAGCCCCGAGGAGAAGATCATGGGGGAAGGTTTTTCTGCTGCCTCACTGGCTACCTCTTTATTCCATCCGCTGTGCAAGGAGCAAACAGGAGTGTGTTGTGTCAGCAGCCCATCCACCACACGTCACTGGTGCTCTCCGTCTACTCCCCAGGAGTGCCAGGCAGCTAGATTCACTTTTCACTTTTCACCAGAGCAGATGCCGGAAAAAGTCTCAGGGGACGATTTCATTAGACAGAGTCACACAGGAGGATTTGGGGGGCTGGAAAGGAGGGCTGCATTTCCTTCACACATCAGAGCACTTTTGGGGCATCATTAGGCTCCATTCCCATGCCCCTTCCTCCTGGCTGCTGTTTAACTTAAGTGGGGCTGTGGGTTTGTTAGGGGCCCTCTTCCCCACTTAATTTCTGTTGCTGTTTTCACTCCAGTCCAATCTCAGCCATTTACTACCATCTTCCTCCAGACTAGCTGGCTCCAGTCCAAGCAGAGATGTCATCATTGATTCTGGTAGGGCTCAGATCATCCTATCTTGCAGGGGTCCTTCGACTTTGCCCAATGTCTGGTTGCACCCAGTGGTCTCTTACCCAGAACCCAACATGTGCAGAATGAAGCTGCCCTCATCTTTCATTCTGAGATGCAGGCCATTGAAGACTACAGGTCCCAGCATCTAGTGGGACTATGTGGGTGAGATCAAGATGGAGTAGTGCATGCTGGGAAATGTGGGCTACATGGGCCACATCTTCCATGGAGAAGCCAAGGATGGTTGTGAGATGCATTGTAAAGTTCCGTGGGACACATGTAGCTGCAGGCTGCACTTCGGCTACCTCTGCCATATTGAAAGGCCTGTATTATTCCCCATTACTTGGAGGCATGTGATATTGCATAGCCTTCGGGATCAACTGGTGGGGGCTGGAGACAGAGCCTCCTTGGATGGCCCACTGCAGTGAGATTCACTTCTGCTGCCAGAGACCTGGCACCATCTGTAGGACGACAGCCAGCGTTTTGTGTGTGCCTTTGCTTAAATGGGTTTCTGAAACCTCTGCACCAATATTCACCTGTACCTGTTCCCTTCTCAAGTCATTGTGATTCCGGCTGATTGGAGGAAGGAGAGGATATAGGTCCTTCAATGAGATTTTGAAGCACTGTTAATTTATGTAATGCACGCCCGGGTACTTAGGATGACTGGGCACCTTAGACATGCTCTGTAGAAATCCAGTGGTGTCATAGAATCATTGAAGTTAGAGCTGAGGAAGTGTATGTGCAACGTGCCTCAGGTGGCATATGGCCAGGATTCATCACCGAATTTGGTCCACTGGTTGGATCTTTAACTTCCCTGGCTTGGGTCAGGTACTGACAGAGTGTGACATGAACACTGATCCATGCTCCCCCTCCCCCCGAGGAAGCACTCTTGGGGTCCATCTGGCCTATCCCAGGGGACAGTATGCTCTCATGTGCATGCCTGAGTCCAGTCTTCAATGTCTCAAGCAATGGAGCTTCTACAGATCCCACAGGTAAGCCATTTCCCCCTGCACAGTATAGGTCAAATTTTCAGTCCCAGCTTCTGTTTTGCACACTCATGTCTGCATGTGCACCTGCAAATCGGGGCACTCCCTCCTGTCCTGTTTGTGTGCACAGATCTGTAGGTGTGCGCACGTCAGAGCTGTACAAATGCCAAGGTTATGCAATAAAACGGGCTGCATGTCTAGTTTGGTGGGCCCAGTCAACTCTACGTGCAAAGCTGGCTGTGCATGGAGTCCCCATACAATATGTACTGCACTGTCTGATAAAGCCAACGCTGTGTGAAATATAGCAACAAATCTCAACACCGTTCAAAAAATACAGCCTGATTCTGTATAAAGAGAAGAGGAAGAAAGCATGTCAAACTTTCCTGGCCTGTAGTAATTCATTCAGTCCCAGGGAACCGTTACCGTTCGCCCTGTTATAGAAAAGCATGTGCGAGGCTCTCAGACCTGATTTATACAGTGGTTTCATCTAACTGAGATGGAGATCAAAACGTCTGTCAAGCTGCCCTGGATGAATGTCAGGGTTCTGCAGAAAAAGGCCCTTTCCCTTGCACCTGGGACACTGTGATTAGGCCATTGTCACTGGCATGGATTCATTTCCATCCTACCTCAAATCTATAATACACCCTGATCAGTACCTAGGAAGCGGCTGCTCTGAACACCAGGGTGGCCAGAGAACAGCCCAGGAAAGGTGTTCTCCAGCATGGCCCTGTCACTCATAGGGAGAGGTGGTTTGCCAAGGTGGCAGACTGGGATGCCCATTTGTTCAATTCAAGATGGAGTGCTGCAGGCAGGAACTCACAGTCTCTTCTGGGCACCCTTCCACAGGAGTGAGGACAGAATGCTGCATTCTGCTCTATTTCACACCAGTTAGGGGGAGCCCTCAGATTCCCAGAGAGCTGCCAACAGGGTCAACTCACCAGGGCAAAATATGTGCCTCCCTACCCCTTTCAAAATTAAAGCAAATTTACTACCAAAGTCCTTTAGAGGGAGGTGAGGTCTCTGGAAATGTCTATTATTAGATGTCTCACAAGTACAGTGCAAGGGTCCCACATGCATATTGCAGCTAAAGAGAAGCTGTGTTTGACTCTGATAAAATAGGCTCCAGTATATTAATTTTATACTGTTTGCAGCCTTACCGGGTTCATAATACACACCGCTCACAACAAGCAGAGAACTCTGCAGAGCTGCAGAGCTGTGTACACAGGGAAAAGGCCATAAATTGCCTAGCAGAGCATTTTTCAAACTTTAGGACATTCCCCGGAGGAAGAGTTAAGATGTAGATTTTGCGTCAGATGCTATCAAAGGCTCCTAGAACTTGGCTAGGTTAAATCTCTCTGCCACATGTGCCTGAGCAGGTTGTTTGCAAAGGTCAAGCTCCCAGGCTGTTGCTGCAGCAGCTAACATTTCTCAGCTGTTCTTGGCTCAGTCCTCAAGGTATGTAGTCTGAGAAATGTCCTCTCAGCTTCTTTGGGGAATGTCTTTCACTGATGTTAGAAGGTGCATCTACTAAAAAAAAAGAAAGATTTTTTTAAATCTTGGTTTTGAAGTGGTTGATTTTGCTTCCCCAAAGAAAAAGATTATTTAGACTCTCTCACTGATCCTTTTAGAACTTGCCGTTTGTTTCTTTATCTGAGTAAGACTTCAGGGGTTTTTTTGAGGGATTTGCTCAACGTACCAAAAGCCTGTGAAATCAGAGGGGCTGGAACCTTAAGCTAATGTAACATCATGTAATTAATTAGCCTGGGTTTGTGAAAAGTGAACAATTTGGGGAAGTTTTTGCACTTAAATTAAAAAAAAAAAAAACTTTCTGCAGATTTCACAGCTGGTCCCAGGGAATTTGTTCGTATATATGAGCAGGAAATCCAGCTGGTGAAAGATACCTTCTTTTTTAATTCAGTTTGTTTGTGGGAAAACATCTGTCAGTGTTTAATTTTTGTTTTGTTTTTCAACCTGGAAAACCTATTTCCAAGATCTTTGGGGAGGTGGAATTTTCATGTGAAATGCAAAAATAAACTGTGCCTCTATTGTCTCCCTTTTTAGATACACAATCAGAAGGAAGAAGATTTGCCTTATTTTTTTGTTTTGTTTCATTTGAAAGTAGACAGTTGCAAAAAAAAAAAAAACAAGCTAAAATGACTTTACTGCACATGCACCTGTATTTCACTGGCTTGGTCTTCTGGATTATACCAAAATCAACCTCTTTTGTGCTGCCCAATGCCACCGAGCTCCTGCACCCCTCCAGCAACCCGCAGGCTGGCTTGGTGTCCGGCCTCGGGGTGCCGAGGAGTCGCCGAAAGCGATACATCTCTCCGCGGGACATGAGCGCTCTTTTGGACTACCACAACCAAGTACGGGCACAGGTGTCTCCGCCAGCTGCCAACATGGAGTATATGGTGAGTTTTTGCCATGCTTCCTGAAGGGAGAAGGAACGTTAGTGGGGTCAAGGGCAGGTTTAATGCCTTAGCACCATCTGCTGAGGAAGCGGGTACAAAGGGAAAACTGCAGCGCTGCAGAATGGAGCCCACCTGGACTGGCAATGCCCATTACATCAGCACAGCGGATGCCATGCTCAGGCACTGGCCATGTTATTATTGCGATCTATTATTTCTCAGCAACAAGCTGTGTGCTAAGCACTGCGCAGCAACGCGCAGCGTCACAGCCCCAGTCCCAATGCGCTTTCTACCCAAAGTCAAACCTGAGACAAGCGAGGGTCATAAAGAGCCTAACCAGGTGTGGGGAGGGGAGAGGGTGCAGGGAAGTTAACGATAAGCCCACACTGGGTGCTATTAAGTTAGGCTTCTTTTGTTTTCTATGATTACTTCTTGTGAGACAGCAGAGTTTCCAGGAGGGACCTGAATGAGGAAAGGGAAGGGGGATCTAAAGCCCTTTAATAAGTACAGAGCTTTCCCGTCATATGTTATGCCCAGCCAGGCAGTGCCCATCGGTTCAGTACAGTGTATGCCAGCATTAACCCCTAGTACTAGCAGTGCCCTCTGGGTCAGTTTGTTAATAGAAGTTCCAGCTCTTGGTATATTTCTCCCTCTGGTCTACACACAATGTTGCACCCATTTAACTAAGGGTGTGATGCTAAAGCGATGCAGCCCTGTATGAACACTATGACATTGGCTTATATCAGTTCAGCTTATGTCTGTGAGGTAACAGGTACAAATCAAACCAACACAGGCCAGGTTCACGCAGAGTTATGCCAGGTTAGCATCCTCCTTTTAGTAAAACCAGTGCAACCTCTGTGTTTAGACAAGCCCTAATTAGTCAGCTGTTTCCACCATGCTGCAGACTGTGGGCACCTGGGGGAGGTTTTAGACCTGCAGATAGGGAGGGGCCCACTTGGTTTAGAGCTTATTTCACAAAGGAAAAAGTGAAGAGCTAAGGGAGGGATCCCTATGTGAGTGGCTGAGCTCTGCATCAGCCGGTACCATGCAGGCTGCAGGGCCCCGTGGAGACAGCCTTTCTGAACTCAGTGAGCTCTTTGTTCATGATAATTGTAGTAGCTGCGTTTTGCTGTTAGCAGAGAAGATGAAAGCCTGCCACGTCACAGTGACTTCCCCAGTTAGCAGCTCTGAGTGCAGTGGTTGGGGCCGGGGAGGTGGTGAGTCCAATGAAGGTAACTGATATTTCACAGCATCTTCCGGGAAGCCCTGGCTTCCTTTCCTTATGCAATTCCTGGCACACTGATTGCTAACTCAGTAGCTAATGCTAACTGCTGCGTCTGTTGGTTTTTTGCATCTTTTCTTTTCCTACTCATGCGTCCAAAAAAGGTCAGAGTAGAAACCTGTAGTAACTAAAAAGCAGGAATAAAAAATAACCAAGGTTCTGATTCAAGCCCATTGAAGTCTGTCCAGGGGGACGCTGTCCACTGACTTCAGCGGGCTTTGGATTAGGCCCTTGAGGAGAAAAGTGTAGCTGTGTTTGCTTGGGAAATGCCAGCTGCTGACAGATACTCTGTAGGGAAACCGCCAAGCTCTAAGTTCCATTCAAGGCTCTGGAAATGGGCACGGGGGATCTGCTGGAAAATCGTCAACAACAGACAGAAAAGAGACCTCCCTATGGGCCTGATTCTGCAGAGCGCTGGCATCTTTAACCCTCTGAAGTCAGTGGGAGTCAGCACCTCCCATGACCAGGCCTGTGCTTGGTTCCACTCTAGAATCCTGGCAAAACCAAATGTCATCTGCTGCAAACCAGGAACAGACATATCCCCCTAAAGTGCAAAGAGCAGCCCTGTTTGTGTGCGCCTTGGGAGATCTGCCCCAGGCCACTTCCACCAGTGCTGCCCAAACAACAACGCTGTCTGCAGGGGTGATCTGCCGCATGTGGAAATGTACCATCTTCTCCCCGGAGGCCTGGCAAAGCGATTGTTGGTCATTTCTACTCCCACTTGGCTTTGCTACTGTTAATGTTTGTTGAGTGCTAACAGCATGATTGGTGCTGTACATACACAGAAGAAGACCTGGCCTCAGCGTCCAGGGACTTGCAGTCTAATTCACACACCATCCATACAGGTCTGACCCAGCAAGTGGTGCCTGGAAATAACTACAGGCCTAATTTGCAAAGGTGCTGAAGCACCTCCAGCTCCCATTGACATCAGCACTTCTGAGACATAGGCCCCATTTTCTGAAGGTGCAATGGGGGTCAGAGTTACAGAGATAAAAGGCATCTCACACCCAGCTCCAGAGATAGAGCTTCCTGCTGTAGGTGTGTAACAGCATCCATCAGCTAAGTACCAGGATCACAGTCACAGTCCCTTTGTTATTCTAACTGCTTAGAGCAGCTATTTCCTTTGTCCTCACACACCCTGAACGGCTTTGGAGACAAGCCCCAGTCATGCCTGGGAGAGAAAAGGGAAGGCGCTGGTCTGATTTTGGAAACTACCTGTTTAGGCCAAGCATGTGTGAAGCACAGACTCCCCGCAGGCAAGTTTGATCCGATCTGAGCACCACTCAAGCAGAACTATTGTGTATCCCTTATGTATCAACATCTAGAGGTGACCCATAATGCACCCTTTCTGGTGGAGCCAACTTATGTCCTTTACCCACTGGCGCTGAGAGCTGACTCTTTGGGTGTCACCCACCTAGTGACACCCAGAATCAACCCATGGTATCCCCTACCTAGTGAAATCCAGAATTGGCCTATTGGGAATCTGTTGGCCAGTGGTGGCCACAATTGGCTCACTCTGTAGCCTCAGCCCTGTGATCCTGATGGTGATTCTGAGATGTCTGAGGACAATGGGTGATACAGGAGCCTTCCCTTCTGTTGTCTACCACAAGCTATAAGTTCAGTATTTCCTGTCACTCCCATCTTTTCTCCCTTTGGGGTTGGCTTCCCTGCTTCCAGACAGGAGGACCCATGTGCCATAACCTGTAAGCCCCCTACGCTGGGTCCTGGATTTTCAGCTGTCCACACGTGTTATGGAAGCAATGACAGGAAACGAAGCTGGAACCATTGCTGCAGCCTGCAGAGCAGAGCAGAGAGGAGAACAGGGGTTCCGCTGTTAAAATCGCCGAGTCACCATTCAGTGCCCACCCAGCAAATGGCCATGCATGTCACTGCAATGGTGGGGGGGGCTTTCATGGGCTTATTGCCTCTGAATTAGTGAAATGTTCATAATAGCTGAATTTCCTCTGGTCCAAACTACAGGTGTGAGACGTATTGGGCTCTGGCACGGTCTCCCTGGGACTCTTAAAAGTTGGCTGGACAAGACACTAGAAAACGGCCTATAGGGCAGAACCCATGAGACAGACTGCATGAACTGGAGTCTCTGGATATGTCTACACTGCAGTATAAGCCCAGAGTTACCCACAACTTGAGGTAGCGGACCCTGGGTTTGTTAAGCAAGTTCTTGAGCATCTACACTCATTTGTAACTCCGGGTTAGGAATAGTTGAATTCTGGGTCCCAACCTGGGGCCCCAGCATCTACACTGCATTATGTGGGCCCAAGTCCAACCACCTACATCCCAGACTTCCAAGTGCCTCCCAAAATAAGGCTGTTCTAGCCTTTTGCTCCTGGTGTAATGTGGGAAAACTTGACTGTCCAGAGAACAAAGAAAGTCGGCCAGTGGGATTGTGGAATACTATTGGCAGGCTTCCAGAGCATGAGTCCAGTGCGGCTGTGTCTTCACTGCAAAGCAATAGGAATTGAACCCTAGGTCCTGGCTTGACTAATGCTTGGACCCTCCACGGGTAGGGGGGTCCTGGGACCCTGGATCTGAGCCCTGGGTTAGTGCGATTTGTGTGTAGATGGAAGGGGGTTGGGCTTGAGCCTGAGTTCAAACCCTGGCCTTACATTGCAGTGTAGACACACCCTATGACTCTCTGACCAGCTGGTTTTGAGAAAACCCCCGTCCTTTGGTTTTGCCCAAAGCTGAACATCAGGCAGGGTTTGCTGAAAAGTACCCCAAACCTGGCCCATTATATAGAAAGACAGGTGATATTCAGGGGCTTCGATCCCAAAGCTCAATGGGGGTGGGAAGGGACCTGGCCTCCTGTCCCATGTGCCACAGAGCCCAGCAGAGCTGAAGGGTCACCAGGCCTCCACATCAGGCCTGATGCAGACACTGCTTGGGCTGTATTTCATGCTCTCAGATAAGATGGGGCACCTGAGACTTTGTGATGGATGCTAGGAAACATTTTCAACCTGTGAGGGTGATTAGGCCTCAGGAGAGACAATAGAGGAGGTGTCTGAAGCAGAAAGGCCAGGAGAGATGGTGATCATAACAATATAAAGTTAATACTTTGCCTTTCTACAGTGATGTCCATTTGAGGATCTCAAGGCAACTTCCAAACACTAGTGAGTTTAGTCTCACAGTTGCCCTGCTTAGTATCTCCAGGCCCATTCGACAGATAAAGCAAGTGAGGCACAGAGTGGGAAATGACTCACTCAACGTGTGTCAATGGCAGAACAGAGGCCAGGCCTCCTGACGCCTAGTCCTGCGCTTTAGCTGCAAGACCACTGCTCCTCTCTGAACAAGTACAAACACAAGTGGGAATGATGTAGGGAAGTGCCCTGCATAATGCAGGAACCTAAGGGTCTTTTCCAGGTCCGCCTTCTTGGATTCTGAGGCAGTTCTCCTGTACACATGTCATGGTTAAATGTTTCCCTTTCATTCT